AAATTATTAATATTTGTGACAAACCAAATTAAGAATATAGCATCATATGAGATAAAAAAAAAAGTAAACTACATTTTTTTTATTCCCCTTCATTATTAAAACGATTCATTTCCATTTTATTATATTCATTAATCGTAATTTGACATAATGAAGATAAAAAGAAATAAAAAATAAATAGTTCAGTTAATGACATTCTTCTAGCTTTCACAATAATCCAAATTGTGAAATAAAATAAACCTTTGTTAAAATAAATAAGATGCTCTCAGTTGACCTATTAACAAAAACATAATATTTACAAAAATTAGGTCCTTTAACAGACAATTTTGTTCATTCCCATTTCGAGAGTTTTGATTTCAGCATGTATATATAAATATCAGTTATAATTTTTGTCTTCTAATATTTTGAATCAGATGCCCCTTTAATGAGTATCTGACTGGACAAAGTTAAAAATTTAGCAAATTTATTCAGCGCAATTTAATGGGTTCATTCCAATATGGCTATGATTCTACTTTTAATATTAATTGTTTCTCACGCTATACTGAAGAGATTCTCTATAAAATATTTACTCCCAATCGTCCGTGACTCAAACATCAGAGGAATTATACATAACCTATGAAGCATTCTATCCCTCGGTAACTATATATTGATTTATCTTACAAATAAATCTATTATGCATAGATAAAAAGCTTTTGCCTATCATAAATGTCTGTCATAAAATTCTGACATTTTTTTGTTTATTTTTCAAATGATTTTCAGAATTATTAAGATGCTACAGTAAATGTTCTACTGTTCACCAACTCAGAGTAATAGTTTGTATAATGTGTGTACATGTACCTAAATTATTTCATGACTTTTAGAAGAACATCATCAGACTACTTTTTAACTCAAGGAATTTGTAGAGAAATTTCCTTTCTTGGTATTTTTATCTCTTTCAACGAAAAATCAATTTATTTTAATGGTGATACTTTTTATGTCAAAATCATTTTTTTCAAGTTATCTATTAAGAATAAAGTATGTTCGATGGCCCATACAAAGCATGGATCGTTTTAACGTCCAAATCTGGCCCCGCGATAATTTACAAAAAACATATTTTTGCCTTAAACTTTCCATCAAACATTGTAGTTTATTAATTTCATTTTCAATTTTTATGTCCATGCACTGTAATAAGGTATTGATCTGATTAATATAGCACTGGAACGTTGTTTACATCGATTTCTCAATGCCTTTAGGCCACACCTCCATTTTGCAAGCCAATTTTCTATATGAGCACATGGCTGTTTCAAGGTGCCGTAAATACGGTCAATGTAGGGAGATAAACTAGTCATTTACATTCATGTAAGAAGGATATGGAGATAACGAACAGTATTCAATCTCAAAGTCCATTAAACAATATACAAAATAAGAACAGAGCAAAAACGGACCTCCGAAACATCAGAGGTTGGATTAGAAATCGAAACAGTCTTGCGCTCATTTATTATTTTCCAAAAAGGTGCAAACTCACGGATACTTGTCTCTTTAATAAAGGCACCTTATTTACAAATTTCGGCTCAAGTACAATATAAGACGAAAATAGTTCAATTTTTTTCTCGTAACAATATACTAGTATATTTTGTGCATATTCATAAATATTCTGAATGTACAAAAAAGATGAATTAGCATATTTTGCATATGAATCAAATGAAAATTTAAATGAATATTTAGGGCCATTATTGGTAAATTTGATATATAAACCAATTGCATTCTATATTGTCAACCATTTTTATATAAAATGGATCATAAATGTACGAAACAAGATATGAACTTTTAAGGGGACGAAGGATGTTTGGTCACGTGACTCAGTTTTATTACGTCATAATATCTGATAAAATATGTACAAAACCAGATTGAAGCCACAGTATTTGGAAGAAAAAAATGACTGTTTGTTTGCGTTCACAATCCTAAATGAAAATATCTAAAAACATTCAAACTTTCTTGCAAATATTTTCAAATTACGGAATAGATTGATCCATTCTTCTGTTTCCCTACACTGCGCGTCCAACGAGTCGCTGACGTCTTAGTGGATCTTAGTACAGTAAGATTATATACACTGTAAAACACGGGTAGTAAAATATCTTAAAAACGGGTCATGATCAGTACATTGTGGGATATTTTATAAATTAAATAACACAAAAAATATTTTTACATGGTTGTTGACGGAAATATTTTGTAGTTATGTCTTACTTAGCTTATATTGCAAATGTGTGACGTCATAATAGGGTTTTCCCGTACTCGAGAAATGAAAACATGACACGTTTTTCTCATGCTCATGTCTTGTTTAACTATGCCCTGAGCAATATTGAGCTCAGTTTCACCAATCGATATTTTGCAGTTAATCAATAACATGACGAACTTGCATTTCGGCATTTTTTTTCAAATATTGAATGATAGGATTTTTTTAAAATTAATTTTTTTGTCATTTAAGTTGTCTTAAAAAGACCGTAATTTTCCGTCTCCAGATGCAGTGTACATGTAACAAAAGAATCTTTCGAATTTTTAACCCTATTCACACTCTGAAATATTTTAAAAGACACATGTGTGCTGACATATTTTTTAAGGCCGGTACACACGGTAAGGCTTGCCTTATAAGTCATGAAACTTACGTTCTAGCCTTACCGTGTGTACACCCTTAATTCACGTTTTTTGGAGCCTTACAAGTCTGACTTTAGAATAGAACACTGCTCTATTTCCTAATACAAGACTTAGCTGACATTTAATTCTTGACCAATGAAAACCATTTACCCAAAGTTCAATCTATTTTTATAAAATCATACACGTTGGTATATTGAAGAAAACACGAAGCATTTTCGAGTAAAATAATGTTATTATCTACAAATACTTCAGTTAACCTCCTCTTCCTGCTTAAGAAGTGTGGATGCACTGGTCGGTAAAACTATTTCAAAGTCCTAGCTAGTATTCTCTTATTCCGTTTAATAATGCGCATTATTTATGGTTCAAAAACACATGGAATTTATGTAAATGTTGTTGATAATAAGTCTTGCCTTAACGTGTGGACAGGAGAGCCGTACGACTTGCAAAACGTAAGGTTTTAGTCTTGTAAGGCAAGCCTTACCGTGTGTACCGGCCTTTATCTATGCTGAAAAAAAAATCCATTATGGACCGAGTAATGGGGCCAGAAATACGGAAAATCAAAACTTCATTCAGACACTGTGGGCATAGTATTTGTCACTCAATATCTCAGAAATAAATCTAGAAACCTATTGATATATCTGCTTTAAGGTATGAGGGACATATTAAATAAGAGCTATACAAAATATGAAAAAAAAAATGAATGACAGGTATTTTTTCAGCTAAAGATCCTTCATCCCCTTAATATTATTTTATTTAAATTATCAATGAATTTAATGTGCACCTGGTAGTCATAAATGAAAATTTGTTCATATGCATGCTACTTTGTCTGGTCGACAGGCAGACAGCATGCCATTATTATAAATGCAAATAAAGTTGACATTATTGTAAATATGTATTTCGAAGTCATAAAATATCATTTGTTTCGTTGAAATTGGACCAGTGGTTTATAAGAAGAAGATGAAAATGTGAAATGTTTACGACACCGACGACGACAGATGACGGACAAATTTTGATCAGAAAAGCTCACTTGAGCCTTCGGCTCAGGTGAGCTAAAAACATTTCTTCAGAGTTCTATTGTTCATACCAGATATCTAAAAATTAAATATTTAACAAAAGTATGCCGATTTCTTTCCTTCTTTCCCAGAACTGTATTGTTTTTATGCAGACGATTTGATTTGTTTAGCAAACGGGGATAATTTAAAAAAAACGAAAGTAGAAAATGAGTTAGGAACGTAACGGACATGCAGGTTTCGAAATTCAGGAAAAAAATTATTATAGTAAAAGTATTTAATTATTCCTTCAAAAAGTAATCTGGAAGCGGGAAATATACATGTAAAGACTGTCAAAGTAGTTCTGGCTGCTTAGAGCAAGCGAACTCTAGATTCTATTGATGCAGTTATCAAAAAAAAAAATTTAATCCAATCAGAATCAAGTATTTTATAGAAAATAAATGATATAGTGATCTTCAGAAATTGTTTTTTTTTTACTTTACGCTCATAATATACCCTTGATAAAAATGTTAGATCTCTCAGACGTTCGAGCCTTTGAGTTTCTCGAACACGTTAAATTCAACTTCAACTATATTTATGGTATAATTGGATTTTTGAAGAAAAAAAACAGTGCGTCTGTCGTCAACCCTTAAGCTTATTTTTAATGATATTAAAGAAAACAATAACATCTATTTAAGCAGTAGCTGTATAGCAGATTACTGGATAAAAAATGTTCATCAAGCCAAGAAACTGCATGGAGGGAAAAATAGGGGCAATGATTTTTAGAAGCATAATTTTAGATGTTTTATACTGCAAAACATGAACATAAAAAACCTAATAATTTTCTGTATAAATTTCCTAAAATCTTTAGAAATGAAAGTGAATTGCTGAAAACACAGTAAAGAGCATTGATCTTGTGTCGGCTTACACAGGTTCCACTGTAATAGATTTACCAATAAAGTTATCTACATCTTAATATTCCGTTCAGGTATCTTCATTTTTCCAAGTTAGTGAAAAAGAATAAAATTTTTCTAATTTCAAATTTATTACAACACATATAAAGTACATCTTGTACTTAATACATTCAGTAAGAAAAAAATACAATAATTTAATGCTTTAAAGAATAGTTTTAACGTCCTTCCTTTCCTTTTGTAACTTGATGTAAAATATTATTTTAAAAAAGAAACCCTCGATAAATTTTAAGTGAAATCAGGTTTGCCTTGATGATGGATGATCTTTTATCTATTATAAATTTTAAAAAAAGAATTAATTTATGTGTAACATATATATAAGAGTAGCATATCTAAAAAAAAATTCTTCAAAACATTGGAATATTTTACGGAAATACAAAAAAACTGGTGATTAAGGTTTACTGGTGTTTACCTAGTGACGTTTTATCATCATCAAGGTCCCCCTCACTGACCATCCCCACTCTACGGTAGGAGACCACGGGTCGACCCAGTCTCCCGGGGACCAGCGACCGTTAAGGAAGGCCCGGTGACAGATGTTAAACCACCAGCCCCCTCCATTACTGGCAGCACAGTTATAATCATCATACACGTCGTTATCCCTGTCTGGGGTGGAGAAGTCCATCCCAGACAGATCGTAGTAAATTGGATAACCAGTGTCTAACATACTGTCACCTGTAAAATAGATGTATCTCATAGATAATGAATTGTTTTTTTAAGCATTAAATGACATTTATCATGGACGATAAAGTTTCATAACTGCAACGGCTTGTTAGGGCTTATATGTAGCTTTTTAATTTAATTTTACGGTATATAATTTTCTACGTATTTAAAGAAGTTAATTTAAATTTTCAACAACGTGGCAATGACTAATTTAATGTCCCCTGTAATGTAAAAAATGCTTATTAACATTGAGAAAGCAAAGTTTACAGAATATTGAGGAAAAATATGTATGATAGACCCCATATAAAAAGACTTGATATTTTTTTTTATTGAGAATAAGTAAGGGGTTTTAAGAAAGTTCCTTTCATAACGAAATATTTTCAAAATATTCAAAGTACTGCCGAGGAACATATAAATTTTGAAATTTTTCAGATGAATATCTTTTCATGAATGTGCTTTAGAATTATAGCAATTTATTCCTTGCAGGAATTTAGAGGGTTTTCTTCCATACAGAAATATATACAGTTTAACATCTTTAAAACACTCAAGTAACAGAAAGGCAGTCATCTTAAGTGAAAGTATAGGATAATTTACTTTTGCTTCTTCATAGCTTATCTTGTATCAGATAAGCTGATGAGCTTTCTAGGTCAAGAACAAAAATTCACTCTTCAGAAGAATATGATTGTCATTTTGAAAAAAAAATAAAGAATCAGTGAATTGATAATCTTTGAATAGTATTTCAAAGAACCGTTTGACCTATGTGCTGAAAATATGTCAAAAATATGCTTCATCTCTAACTTTTCTAAGCAGACAACATCTAATTTATAATCAACAAAAGACACTAAAAATATGTGATATAAGGGATCTGTCAGAACATTTGATATAAGTGATCTGTGGCCAGTTTTAAGACATTAAATGTCATACCCTTACCTAAGGTCCCCGTGGAAGGTCCTGCAAGAAAGAGTTGATATTTTCCTGTTTCGTTGGAGACAGAAAATCTATCGTACATTTCATAAAGCGTTGTACCATTCTCGAGAGTGATGGACACATAAAGGGATGAGTTTTCTTTTGTTAATTGATGTATAAAGTCATTTCCTGCATAATGAAATATTTTAAAATCAACAATAAAATTGTTTGCAAAACAGAAATTCATTAATACGAAATATACTTTAATGAAAATCAAATTATATCTTAGTGTAGACATTGATGCTAATTGTGGCTACATTAGGACCTTGCCGATAAGTGATTTTGATCGCTTGTTTTCATTTTTTTTTCTAATTTAGAATAACAATTAAACACTAAAAGTGAATATCGTCAAAACATAACATCTTGTCTTACAATCAGATGTTTCTTTGATACGGTTTCATTTCTTTATCCTGCAAATACTCCTTGCGTTGACCTAATAAACCTATTAAACCAAAGCTTTAATTGGTCAATTCATAATAAAGCCTTGTGCATGTATTCCGAGTTCTAAAAGTATTGTGAAGTCAGGTGTATTGCAAAGATTACGCCATGGCGTCATAATTTCGACAGATATTGCTTATATTCCAAAACAGTAACCATGTATTTTATATTATCTGCCTTAAAAAACCATATTGTTCATTATTGAAGCGACTGAAAGTTCCTTTAAAAAAAGATGTATACTAATCAATCCAAACATCTTGTTCTGGTGAACCAAAACCATTTTTATATGCTGTCCAATCTCTGTCAAAACTCAGGGAACCATTGACACGTTTTTGGATTGCCTTTAATAATAAGCATGTATAACAACACAAAATCAACGTATTGAAGAATTTTATGATCAATAAGTTTTGATATAAACTGAAATTTTTGTATGTTTTATATTCTTTGGAACAACAAAACCACACATAAGAATTGATTAATTTACGCTAGTTGAAATAAACTACAAGGCGGGTTTTCTCGGCGGATGTAAAAGAACTATGCACGGTAACTCGCGATACCAGCATACATTTGACAGTCACTTAATTCAAGATTGAATTTCTATATGAAGTTTTTGTTTAATACCAAGAGCAGTTTAATTGTGATTTATTAGTTATTTCAACACCAGTGCTTAAAAGTGAAATATCCCTACTTCCAGCTTTTCATATAAAGGGGGGGGGGTCCATTGACATCGAACCATAAAGCATCATTATATTCTGAAATAGACTTGATTATGAATTATTGTTTCTTAATGTTTTTCTTATATTTTCTGCATATAAAAGTAAGCATATTTATCTCATACGTGTGGCAGATACTGCCCATATGAGATAAATGTATGCTTTATTCACGGGTAAATACTTTATTAAAAGCAATTCCGTTTTTGAAAGGATCCCTCGCTTTTAAATTTTAATTTATTGAAACTTTATTTGTGAAAATTATCATTCGTATAAAATGAATGATAAAGAATAACAGTATCCTTAAAAGCAAGAAACAAACTTGTATATGTCAGAGAAATGTCTTAGTTTATCAAGGAAACTGTATTGGGTATTTGAAAACAGATCTTACCCCCTCCCTTTAATCGTTTTCTGAAAAAGTAAAGCCTAGCAGTTAAGTTGTTGTTATAAGACGCCTTTAACATCTTCAACAATGCTTTCTACGTATGCCTATCTTGTAATTTAGGTGTAACTAAGGGAAGATATGGAGATATTGAGGTAAAAAAAATTCAAAATTAGAGCAGAGCAAACACGGACCTCCGAAACATCAGAGGTGGGATAAGGTGCCATGGAGGAGTGAGCATCCCCTGCCGACCGGTCACACCTGCCGTGTGTTCATTGTCATGATCGTGAAATAACGGGAAAATTCGTCGTCAATTCAGTGTATAAATAATGGACTAACAATTGGTATGAAAAACGTCAGTCAGCGTTTGACTCAATGATACATTGTATTTGCTGAATGCTGACAAAATCATTGTATCAACCATAGAACTTACGAAATGACGACTTTAAACGAGACTTCAGATATTCTTGTTTCATCAACTTGCTTGTCAATAATCAACCTCGTTTTAGAAATTGTTCATACGTAGAGCATGCTCTTGCGTATCGAATCAACTGAGATATATGCACTCTGTATGCAGGTGATGAAGATATATTGCTGTATAAGTAAGGGAATACCATAGATCAACAAGGAACGTACAAGTAGCCTTGTCTAGCAAGTTTTGTACTGCCACCGTACAGAAAGTTAGTTTTCTCGATCCATGGTCCTTACAACTTCAAGTCAGAAGTTCCTTTGATGTAAAGCTCAAGCAATTCTACCATAGACCTATTGTTTTCAAAGACGCAGATAGGAAAAATAAAAAAAAAACAAAAATGAACACGATCTACTTTCTTTCGAGGCATATCAAATCAGCGGTGCTACGTATTTAAATAAAGCGTCATCAATTTGAATTAGCAATCAATCATGTACTTTCGCAGCGGTGTTCTAAAAGTTTTGTTAAAACGGAAGTCGTATGAGATAAATAGAACATCTATAATTGTGTGATTTAATGTTGTTTTTATATAACTCGTTGAAATGGTGTATATTAACTCGGCAAGCCTCGCTAATATATATACAATTTCAACTCGTTTGATAAAATCCACATCAAATCACACAATATAGATATCCTTTATCTATTAGTAAAATACTGTGTTTTAGTTGTTAAGCACTTGGAAATTGATGGGAAAAGCATTTCTTTCTTTTTTTTTTGTCTTTTGACATATCCCCCAGCCTCCCGTGAAACACACAAAACAACTTAAGAAGTTTAGAGAATTGGTCAGAATTTGTGAAATGGCAGTCCATATCACCAGTAAAAATTGCTTTATGGGAGGAAAATGTTTAGAAAAATATATTCCGTTTTCCGTTTATTTCTAGTAATTTTTAGGGTTACCTCTCTTTTTTCCAAAAGATTTTTTTTTGATGAAAATCTAAATAAATATACTTGTGTGTTTATATATATTAAAAATCATTTAAATATCGTAACTTTTGAAAATTGACTTGGAAGTACGCGAGAGAAGTTCGCAGTTCTTTGCCGTTTTGCTTTCTCAAAGAAATGCCTATAATTTTGGCGAATATTAATTTAGTAGACACTTTAGCGATATTATTTAAGTTTTGTGTGAATTATTTGTGTACAAATCACACAGACTTGTCGAGTTGGCATATTTCTTGAAGTGCATTATACATGTCTAAGAGCACAAAATATACTCAATGTTTAAATTTCTTGCTGCCCTATATTGTGTAACATTTTTACTAACATCAGTGGATTCTCATTGTCAGGGGATGTTTGAAAATTTTTTTCGTGGGTAAAGGAAAATGAATACCAATAATTTCTTACAGAAAAAACAGCTATTGAAAATTAGTAGCTTGAACACGTTGGAAAGAACATGATGACAAAAAATGGACTATTTTAGCGATGAAAATTCTAATCGGCTATTTACAAAACGCTAAAATAAGCGAAAATTTGCAATCGCTTAAATACTTATAGACCACTTTAGAGTATCAAAATAAATATATACCGTCCATCCTCCACCCAGTGTCGTCATGTCACAATATACAGGGACAGGAATCGTAGTGGTCCCATGGGGATAGATGACATACACCCCAGAATTCCTGTATCCATCTGATTGAAGATCCTTACAATCGCTGGGCATAACTAAAGCAGAAAACCAACTTACAATCCAGAAAAATAGCTACTATGAGTAATTAAGGAATGAAGCGATTTATATAAAAAAGCGGTTTATAAAATAGCGTAAACTGACCCAAGTTATATATCGAATTACATAAGTTGAAATAAGCTTCATTCCTTATAATTTAATTTCAGTGTAGATACCAAGACAATTATTCCTCCAGAGAAAGGTTTCAAATTTTGCATTTTTTTTTTAAAGTAACGTCAAGCGGAGTAATACGTTTTTGACGTAACTAATTATGCAAGTACAAAGTGGATAAAATCTTCTATCCAATCAAATGTCGTATTACAACTAGAATTAAATTATGAATAATAATAGAATCATATTACGTATATACAAGAAGTGAGAAGATACATAATACCAGTACGAAGGACTAAGATTTTCTGGTAATTAAAGCTAAGATGTGAACTATACAATGTTCATTTTGTTAAGCATGTTCTTATTAACGAAATTGAAGTAATTGGAAATATGGCTACTACTTAGAAGTAATTAATTATGATGAGCAATAAAGTTCTATGATGTTTATCTTTTTTGTGGCAAATAAAACAAAGAAAATAACAGTTTTACATACAGTCATGTGAGTAGTATATCCAGCCTCCCTCATTCGACACCCCTGACGTAAATATCTTCTTGTGGGTCCGACATTTCTTCATCTGAGGATTGAACCCATAGAAACTACATTCCCTTTGACACCGAGCGCCACACTCTATAACGGATGTAGAGTTGTATTCTTCTAAAAATTCTTCATTTGACTTCTTATCATTCAGTTCCAGATTTGCGGTGTATTTCCTCGAAATAACGGTAGACTGGCACACCGCAAAAAAGGCAAAAACTAACACAATTGAACAAATAGCGCCCATATCGTAATTGGTACTTAAAGCTACTGGCTGCGTTGGGGGCTACCTTTAGAAATTTGCAATGTATCATACAAAACGCCAAATATAAATTTCAAACTATACATCAGTTACTGAAAACGATTGGCTAACGGTTACGTACTCTGTATGTGTCATACACTAAAATATTGATTTGTTGAATCTAAAATAAACAATTGCTAGGTGTAATAGGAACAGTTACAGATGTTCGCTAAAGTCTCCGCAAGTCCCTTTGGTGCCCTTGTGAAGACAAATAATGACTCTTGTAGAATATTAACCAGAGGTCATTTTTCGACGTCGAAAAATGACTCCCAGTCATTATTATACGGCGAAAATTGCGCCCGGTCATTATTTGACGTCGAAAAGTATCAACACCCTAAAATTTTGCATAACACAAGTGACGAAAAATGACCCCGTAGGGACCTTAAGGCCAAAATACGCACCTGGGCTAAATAGGGAATAAATTGGTAATCTTGATCTCATTCATGAAGAAGGTTCAGTTTGAGCTTTAACGTGCCTTAAAAATTGAATGTTCTTTAAAAGTTATGATATTGGCTTTAACAATTGTCGAGTAGATGACTATGACAAATAATGAAAGAATATGGCATGAATGAGGACCTTTCTGGTAGTATGACGACATTAATTTGGTGCATTTCTAAATTAAATGCAGAAAAGCCTCAAAATGACTCATTTCTGTGCTTTTTTTCTTTTAGAAAATAGTCTCTTCTATCATCGCCACGTTTTAATTTTTGGATATATTATGTAAACTGTTATGAAAAATCACATATCTCAAAATCTTTCCGGGCGACGGTGGCAGAGTATGTTTTCTTGAAGAAAATTCCACTGAAAATTGATGTCTTCTGCAACTTTTTAAGAAAATACGGGAAAATGCCCAAGTCAATGACGTCACAATTAGCATTAAGGAGGTCATATGAGAAAAACGATTTGTATATTCTTGCTGCATGTAATTTCTATTATTTAAGAAAGAATGAATTTTGTTTTCTTATATCACTAACATGTTTTAGAAAAATATGAGGCTTTCTTTGTATTTAAACTGTACTTTCTTCTTACACAATTATTGCTTCCTGAAGGCTTTTTTAAAGTCAATGCGATGATTCAGAATCTAAAAGAGTAAAAGATTTATCGAGCTCAAGGGGCTAGGTGAACATTGTTTTTTTTTGATTATGTAGAGACATCCTACTGATTGAAAAATGTAGTAATATTATATAACTAGTTTGTAGTAATATTATTTAACTAGTTTGTAGTAATATTATTTAACTAGTTTGTAGTAATATTATATAACTAGTTTTTACCCTCGGTGAAATCAGGAGATAATGTAGGGATAATATGTCCGTCTGTCTGTAACGCTTTGAGTAACCCCACTCTGATACAGAACTCCTCTCACATTGCTAAATGAAATTGAATTAGGCTTTCACATACATATTTTTTGTTACATAGTTTCATTGTGCATCTTCTACTGTACTTTTTGATCTGACACATACAGTATGTGTTAAGTAATAAAATGTCACTTAGTGAGCTAAGTGCTCACAAAACCTCAGGGCTTATTTATACAGTCTCATCCAAAAGACCGGTCTCCAAGATCCACAGAGGGAATCGGACCCGCGAAGTAAGGATTGACTCCTAATTTCGCGACTCTAGAGTAGATGCTATAATAACTGCGACATGCAGGCGACCCATCTGTGTTCAGTAATCCAGAAGTGAGAAAGAGAATTAGATATATTAACTGATCAGTACATACTCGTCCCTGTAACATTGCAGGTAACAACATTGTCTTCGTTTGTAAGGCTCATTATATAAACTGTATTTGAAGAGAACTTTTAATTCTACACGTGGTTATCCTACTTTTACTCATACTTCCCTTTCTAAGGGAGAAATTCTTCGAAATCATATGTCAGTCTTAAATATTTTAAATATTCCACGAAGTCAAAATGACTTTGATCTACCCTATATATATATTGGATTCCGAAACTTCATAAAAATCCTTTAAAACAAAGATACGTTGCAGGTTCAAGTAAATGTTCAACCAAGCCTCTTTCGTTACTCCTCACTAAGATATTGACAGTAGTGAAGGAAACCTTCAAGAGTACTGTGCAAAAGTATATTCAAGAAGTGGTGTAAATCAGATGTGGATACTAAAAAATTCCAGAGAACTTTTTGACAATTTGAAATCACTAGATTTTATCAAAGTCAACTGCTGGAAAATATGCAAGTATTTCCCATGATAAATTAAAGTCAGGACTTTTTTTTATATCATTGCTCACTGCTTTTTCAATAACAAAGGAACACGTAAATTTACTTATTTTGTCATTGGTTATTTTCAAACTTATTTTGTTAAAACAGATTTTGATTGTACACACAAGTACTCTGAAGTTAACATCTAAAAGATGTTTGAGTTTCTGATTGACAATAGCTATGTGGTTTTAGGAGACCGGGTATTCCAACAATCTTTTTTAAATTACTTTGGGTACCAATTGCGCTCTGTTAATAGCAGACCTATTTCTATACTCATAGGAAGCAAAATTTGTGAAATTCATATGCGTGAAAAGAAAAAAATATTTTCTGTGGCCTTCAAGTCGACATTTAGGTATATCGACGACATATTGTAAATTAACAATGGTAATTTCCATTTTTACGTCGATACGATATTTCCTGGAGAGCTTGAGATAAAAGATACCACATATATTGACACGTCATGACTGTAATTATTGTATCGTCAACTTCCCTTACTTTTGCAGCAAAATATACTACGTATAATTAATTTCTAAAACGAGGTAAACTATTGCCAAGCAAGTTGATGAAACAAGAATATCAACAATCTCGTTTAAAGTTATCGTTTCGTATGTTCTATGGTCGATACAACGACCTTGTCAGCAAATACAATTTATCATTGAGTCAAATGCTGACTGATGTTTTTCATACTATGCTCGTATTTTGTATTCCTTATCTCCATATCCCTCCTAATTCTTGGTTAGAAAAAAGGGCATGGCGCTGGTAAAAATTGAAATGAAGTCGATTAAGATGCATGGCGTCGCTCCATGGTCATAAATGCCGAGTATAGGACAACATTGCACTTATCTTCACGTTTCACACTCTTGTACTTCGGATAGCAAACTCGAAGATGAACTAGATTTGAACTTAAAAAAAATAATTTTACAGATGAATTAATGATCTTTCTACATGAAAGAAGATTATGTTTGTGAAAGAAATTAACAGTGAATCAGTCTTTTGAAACCAATGAAATAATTCATAAAACTAAATTATTATTTTTTTTTATTAATTCCCTGCGCAGTTTTAAAAAATACGAGAAATGAATAATTTACGAGAAAGGTCAATTAACTAATAAACCAGTTTTTGTTTCTCCTATAATATTTACTTGGTGTTGTTTTCTTGCTACCCAGTCATGTATCACTGTATGCATAATAAACTGACTTAGTTTTAAAAAGTGATCCCAAACCTGATGATTTATTCAGCATATATGGGGATTATCCCATAAATTTTAAAAACAGCATCGGTTGATTTGAAGAAGTCTGGATATGTTTATAGACCAGTTTGAAGCTATGGTGATTATTTAAAAGATAAAAATGTCAACATCATTAAAATTATTTAGTTTCAAATGAAACAAACACCATTTATCAAGGACAGCTGGCCAGGTTTCATTCGTAGCTACTCTGTAACTGTCTCTGCATAATTTATGATAAACTAATGGTGTAAATTTATTAAACCATTAAAATGATTCCTTCATGTATTATAGACTAAACTATTTTGAATAACTCTCACGAGCGTTGAAATTACTGTTTCATATCTAAACAAAAAGCGGCATTTTTAGCTATAAAACAATATTAATATTTTTTCATACAATGTCTATTTTTGGTAGTTCAAAAGTACTAAAAATATATTATTTGTGCCTCTGGTATCGAAAGATCCAGAAAAGATCCAGATACGTTTAAAGCACATACACTTAAAACACCACAATGCTTTTGTATTTTTTTCTGCTTAGGAAAATATGTCAAAATTTGAACATTTAGCACATCCATCTAATATTTAAACCAGACCCTTAATTTGTTTGAAAAATTGTCATGATGAATTAAAAGGAAAAAAAAAATTTCAATAGAAATAAAACCGTTTTTTGCATTCGCTCAAATGTTTTATTTCGCGACTAAAAATATTTTGCACTTTCATGGATGTAAAACACACACACACACCGAAGAGAATAAGGTATTGTGATCAAAGAGATACAGAACATGCTTGTTCATCGATGATTTCATCGATTGCATTTAACGAAATCTATTAAATTAAAGTACTCCAAAAATAACTTTTTTTCAGAAAAAAAGTGTTAAAGTGTTATCAAGTCTTTCTTCCTAAAAGCAATTCAGCACAAGACAAGCAAACAATAACATAAGTTAGGGCCATTACCACTTTTTCAGAAATGTTTTGATTCCCTGAGCAAAATGAAATATTAATCTAAAACTCATAGAAATATCCAATTAAAAAAGACATTATGTGTTATATTTGTCTAGTTTCCTTGGAAAGTTCATGTGTAACAGTCTGTTTACATTTAATGCTTCTCCCATAGTGTACATATGTTAGCAAAAATTCATGATATATTTACGAAATATTTCTTGTGTGTCTGGAGAATGTTAAGTGATGTATAGAGAGTATCAATTGATCGATCTTCCAATAGGATCTTTATATAACAGTTGTGAAGAAGACAAAAGGAGAACAATGTCTCACTTATTGCAATTTTTTATTGCGATTACAAATACGGAAGAAAATGATTTGGTCCCATTCAAATTAAATCAACTTTATTGTTAGATATAAAAAAAAGTCTTGAGGAAAGTCTGGACTTTCAACATTTTCTCTCAAAGAAGAATATGGAGATAACGAAGAGTATTCAATCCCAAAGTCCATAAAACAATACATAATAGGAGCAGAATGATCATGGACATCCGAAACATCAGAGATGGGAT